CGAACACGTTACGAGCATTACGAATTCGTGGGGATGCCTTTTGGACTGACCAACGCACCAACATTGTTCATGGATCTCATGAACCGGATGTGTATACCTATATTGGATGGCTCAGTGATTCTCTTCACCGATGACATCTTGGTCTATTCATAGACCAGAAAGTAGCACGAGGAGCATTTGTGAGAGATTCTCGGAGCTTTGAGGATGGGGAGGCTTTATGCCAAGTTCTCCAAGTATGACTTCTGGTTGCGGGGTTCAGTTTCTAGGACACCTCATCAACCAAAACGGTATATTGGTTAACCCATCCAAGATAGAGGCAGTGATGTGGTGGGAAGTGTCAAAGTCTCCATCTAAGATTCAGATCTTTGTTGGTTAGGTGGGATATTATCGGAGATTCATTCCAGACTTCTCCAAGATTGATGTTCCTCTCACTAAGTTTATGAGGAGGGATGTAACGATTAGTTGGGGGGCTGAGCAGTAGGAATCATTCAAGACTCTTCACTAGAGACTTTGTGAGGCACTAGTACTTGCCCTCCTTAAGGGAGTTAAGGATATTGTGGTCTATTGTGATGCATCCATTACAGGTTTGGGTGTTGTGTTTGACGCATAGGGGGCATGTAATTGCATACGCTTCAAGGCAGCTGAAGCCACATGATGCAAAGTATCCGACTGTCGATTTGGAGTTAGGGGCTGTGGTTTTCACTCTTAAGATTTGGTGCCACTATCTTTATGGTGTTCGATGTACCATCTATGCGGACTACCAAAGCCTGTGACAACTTATGGATCAACCTAACAAAAACATGAGGTAGAGGTGGTGGTTGGATGTAGTGAAGGATTATGAATATGAGATTTTGTATCACCAATGCAACGCTAATATGGTGGCCACCGACTTAATCTGGAGGACGGTTAGTAACCCCATTTGGGATGTGTATGAGGATAACTGTGATGACCTTGGTTTTGGAAAAGATCAAAAAAACATTGTCAGAGTAAGTGGGTGAGCGGTTATATTTCAACTTTTTTTATCGACAACAAGGGGCTTTTGACTCTTCATGGGTGGGTTTGGGTGCCCTATTTTGGTGGGGCTCGATGGGTATTGATGAAGGTGGCCCACAAGTCAATATTTTCCATTCATACAGGGGCTACCAAGATGTATATTGACCTGCAACATAGTTAGTGGTAGTCGTGTATGAAGAAGGATGTGGTCTAGTTTGCAGAGAGATGTTTGACTTGCTAGAAGGTCAAGGCCGAGCACCAACACCATCATGGCAAGTTGCATCCATTAGAGGTTCTACTATGGAAGTGGGAGCATATCCCCATGGATTTCATTAAAACTTTTCCTAAAACTGCGAGAGGTTTTAATGCTATCTGGGTGATAATGGATCGTTTGACGAAGAGTGCTCACTTCTTAGCCATACATGGTGGCTCTTCTGTAGAGAAGCTTACAAAGATTTATATCTAAGAGGTGGTGGCTCAACATGGGGTTTCAACTTTGATTATGTTGGACTGAGATTTTTGTTTCACTTCCATGTTTTAGAAGAGGTTTCACGAAGAGTTGTGTACCCAGTTACATTTTAGTACTGCATATCATCCGTAGACGAATGAGCAGAGCGATTGTTACATCTGTTTCCTTGGATGAACCGAATTAGGGTTTCGGTGGGTCAAAATATTTCATTTTCGTGAAAAATGGGTCCTCGCGACGTGAGGTATGGAGGCTCACGATGTAGGGAGGGCCGCACGAAGATTTTATCCGTGGATGAGCTCACGACATTATACATAAGAGCTCGCGATGTAAGGATCATTGCAGCCCAAGACCATGATGTTTTAGGGTTTCCCACGTATTTAAGTCCCCTTAACTTGCTTTTAGGGTTCATTTCTCAGCCTCCTCCTTCCTCTAACTCAGTAAAGCCCTAACCCTAGCCTTTCTTTGTGTTTCTTGAGCTTTTGGTGGAGTTTTGATGGTTTGAAGAGGAGGAGATCAACATGGAAGCATAGTTGCAGTTTGGAAGCCTCACTTGCAACATTTAGCTACACTTCTGAACCAACATGAGTAATCAAGATCCAAGCTTTATGTTTCCCTATTGCTAGATCTAAGGTTTTAAGCATATTTCTCTAGGATCTTAAGAGTTCAAGTGTTGGGACTCCATAAAGTTGGCAATTTTATGGGTCCTTAAGGTCCCTAGATGCTTATAGGTCATGGATCTAAAGTTTGGATGATGTTGGAGTTCATGCATGAGACTTGATCCTCTTTTTCTCCAAGAATGGCCCATTTTGAGCTTGTGCCTTGTATTGAACATACAAGACGTTAAATCATCGATTTTTATGACCCTATGAGTGTTAGGAAGCCTCCTGGAAAAGATGGATTGGTAGCTTAATAGATTAAGAGATTTTTGGATCAAAATAACATACAGACGGATCTCACGACGTAAGGAAGATGCATGTCACGTCGTGAGGGTTACAGCCTCAATTATTTTGTCCTATAACGGTTCACGGCATAGGCCATAGATGGTCTGGTCATGAGTGCCTGCTGACCATTGACTTTTTGACCAAGTGTGACTAAGGGTATTTTGGATAGTGTTTGAGATGTGGTACTGGGCCTTGGTTTCGGGCCAAATAAGGAAAAGGGTAGAATGGTCTTTAGAACTTTATGAAGTTGGATTATGGATTGAGCCTTGTATTTTGGATTATCAGGATAATTATTTATTAAGACTGTATTTCCTAGTTGGCATAGTGTTATATGGTTCAACAACCCGAGTAGGCATTTGATTATCAACAAATTGAGGTGAGTTTTCCTTACTATACTTTCAGGTCAAAGGCACCAAGGCCGACCCTCTGGGATTTGATATCCTATTATGTGATAGTATGTTATCGTGTTGTAGTGATCTGTTAGATTGATATCCTAGTATATAGGATGATGCTATGCCTAGTGATCGGTAGATCTGCCTATTATCTGCTTCCTGGGTATATGTTTATATGTGGTATATGTAGTCGTAGTACAGGTGGGTTGAGATTGTACCACTTTGTGTTGTTAGTCAACAAACTCGGTAACGTTTATATTGATATGTAATTATGGTTTACTAGTTATATGTTTATTGGATATGTATATGTCGACATGTTGTGTGTGGTTGGGTTGAGGTTCACTAGTGTAGACTGAAGGCTAAGAGACTTAGGTCGGCCTGGATAGACTGAAGGCCTGTGAGGCGGACCAGTCAGGCCGAAGGCCTAGAAAACGGTTGAGATAGGCTGAAGGCCAGGTGAGGCGGCCCAGTCATGCTGAAGGTTCTTTTTGTGGTCCAGATAGTCTCTAGGCCGATGCGGAGGTCCAGTCATGCTGAAGGCTCTATATGCATGTTGTTGGCTTGTTATCTGTTTGTGTAGTGGTATTTTGGGGGAACTCACTAAACTTCGTGCTTACAGTTTTGGTGTATGGTTTTTGTACCTCAGTGGCAAGGTGAAGGAGTGATCGTGCACATCCTTAGTTTTACGATTGAACGAATCTTAGGAAACTCTGATTTTAAATAATGTTTTGGAAATAATGATTTTGTAAACACTTCTATTAGTAAATGGGTTGTTTTGAAAAGTTTAAATTTTTTGAAATTTTTGGGATGTTACAACGAGTGGATTATTCATACGGGTTAGGATATGGTGCGTTCCTGCATCATTGATTTTGGTAGGAGTTGTGACTCCTTTCTCCTGTTGGCCAAGTTTTCTTATAACAACAACCATCATGCAGCATTGGCATGCCTTCCTTTGAGATTATGTATGGGAAGCGGTGTCAGAGTCGTATTTGTTGGGGCGAGGTCGGACAAAAACTCATAGGGAGCACGAAGATGGTTCTCAAAATGACCGAGCTTATCCTGCTAGTTAGACAGAGGTTGATGATATCCTAGAGCCGCTAGAAGAGTTAGGCTGATCGGCGACGCTCTGAGCTAGAGTTTTAGGTGGTTGATTTTGTGCTTCTGAAGGTATCACCCTGGAAGGGTGTTATCCACTTCAAGAAGCAGGGCAAGTTGGGCCCTAGGTTTATTGGCCCTTTTAGAGTGTTGGCCCGTGTGAGTAAGGTGGCTTACCAGTTTTAGCTGTCGGAGGAGTTGAGGCAGATTCATGATACCTTCCCTGTTTCCCTATTAAGGAAGTGTATAGCTAATGCATCAGTTGTGATTTCTTTAGAAGACATTCAGGTTGATTTTTTCCTGAATTACATCGACAGGCCAGTCACTACAAGAAAAAGACCCTTTTACGATGCGCAAATTACGACACTCAATGATTTATGTCACGCAAAAGAGAGTGATATTAGAAAAGTGTCATTTATTAAAAAAAATTAAGGATTTAGGTCACGCATTATTGCATGCCCTTAAATTAGTGTCAAAAGAAAAAAAAAATTAAAAAAACGAAGGGCGGTGTATCTTAAATGTGCGCCCTCTATAAGTGTTGCTTTATATTTTTAATGAAAGGCGCGTGTAATGGATACGGGGGAAATGAAATTCCCAAAATTTTGAAAACCCGCTTGAATTTCTCTCCATTTCTCTCTCACGATCATCTGCAACCCTAGTTATCTTAATTTCTCTCCATTTTTCTCTCTCACGATCGAAGGACAAAACAAGACACGAATTTCACTTGGAGAAGAGTTGGTGATTTCTCTCCATCTCTTTGCGAGTTAGGAATAAAGACACATATAACGTAAAAGAGGAGGAAAAGGGCACACACACACATTATGTGTGAGGTGCGGCTTCCATAGCTTTCACTTCCAAAAGAGTCGCTAAGAATCGGTGATTCCATCTAGGGTTCTACAAGCTTAATCCATATCTCAACATCTTACCTCCTTCATCATATTTCTTCAACCATTCATGACCATTCTAGAGTTTAACATGTTCTTTAGCATTCTAGGGTTCGACATCTATTGAGATTCTTTAACATTGTTCACTAGCCTTCTAACCTTTCTCTGGATAGGCATCGACTCCAAGGTAAAAATAGATCTGTTACATTACTTTATACAATCCTATCATCGATTTGGTTTAATTTCATTTTCCATGCTCTGATTCTCATCTATTCATAAAGAAAATTTATGCATTCTATCCATTCGATGAAATGCCTGACTTAGATTATGCAATTCTAGAATCAGAATAGGATTTGTTAATGTCTTTAAAATAAACGTATCAAAAGCATCTCCCTTCATGTTTTTTGAAAAACGTATTGGAAGAAAAATTAAATAAACAAATATAAAAAAAAAACATTTTTCCATGGTTTCCTAATACTGAGAAGTACTTGCTGAAGACTTATTACATCCGGTAAACTGCTTGCCTTTTGCAGCCCTAGAAGCCAAGTTCGTAAGAAGGGCTGCCTTTTTAAAACATAATCTATGGATCACACCGTATGCTTGTGGTGAGGATTTCCTCGGAGGAGAATTTCCCAACCAAAACTCATGTGTTGTGAAGGTCTGGCTTCATGGGTCCAGCAAAATCGATCTCTTGAAGAAACCGACATTGTTCTCTGGTGACTAAGTATATTTCCTTGTTTTTTTTAATCAGGTTGTGCATGCTTTTCGTACAATATTTTCTTATATGAAAATTTGCAGGTATGTATTTGGGATAACTCATGTTCCTAGGTTGGAAGATTGGTCTGTGATGCTAGTGGAACGGATTGGGTTTATGCTTCAGGTATGTATGTTTTTAATTGGTTATGTATGTTTATTTTATTTACAAAAAACTAATATATATATATATATATATATATATATATATATATATATATATGTTTTGGTTTTGCAGCCACATGTGTTCTTTAACTGCTCTCCTGCAGTGGATGTTCCCCTAGTCCTAGAGCTTGTGAGTCAGATGTGAAGGAAGGCCATGTGAAAGAGACGATTAACACAAAGTTGGTTTCAAATGGGTTGGTAGCCATGCTTTGAACATCCATTCAAAGATATGTGAGTGTGTCTAAGTGTATAAGTGTGTTCAAACCTGTATTAATTTTTGTGTTCATCCCAATGTTAACAGGGAGACTGTAAACAGAGGAAGACTTTTGGAAACTTAGATGAAGATGTTGGTGACTCGAGATCATATTCTGTGATTTTGCTCAATACAAATGCCCATAACAGCATGGTCAAAGATAAGGTCGGGATTTCAATATTGTATTTATTCCCAGTTTATATATTCATTTTTTTTTCTGATTTTGATGCTTTGGTTTGTTTATATGTAAGATGAGTAAAGCTAATTTTATTCGGAACAACCGTGGGATTGATGATGCAAAGGACTTAGCTGAAGAGTATTTGGGTGCTCTTTATATATGATGGATAAAACATAATTTCTTCATCACTTATATCTCCGTTGTCCCATTGTCCATTTAGGTGATAAAACTTAAGTTACTGTTTTGGACCCACTTCAGCATTTAGTTGATTTAAAAACAATTTAAATACAAATGCCTGATCACACACGATGGATCCATCTCTCTTTCTAGGAAGAAATTACCATATACTAAACGATAATTTTCAAAATCTACTTCAACTTCCACTTGTTCTGCATCAAAAACTATGTCTTCTGCTAAGGGCATGGAGGGTTTGGAAAAGTTTACAAAGGTAACATTATCAATGGATCAAGTGTTATTGCTGCTTCCTTTAAACGGTTGGATTTTATGTCCAGTCAAGGTGCAACAGAGTTCTGGGCAGAAGTTGAGATGCTTTCAAATTTGCATCACTATCACCTTGTATCCTTGGATATGCAGATGAAGTAGTGGAGGAGCGAATTGCAGATGATGATGTCATACTCATCAAAGGAACTAAAACAACAGGGGTTGTATGTGATTTAATATTTCTTTATTTTTTTAATATAAAAGTAATTAATTTTGTGACAATTTGAATAGGTGTCGATAATTCTGAGAGGTGCTAATGACTTCATGCTTGATGAAATGGATAGGGCAGTACATGATGCTTTATGTATTGTCAAAAGAACCCTCGAATCCAATATAGTAAGAAAAAAAAAAGAAAATATTAATTTTTAATTTTATTTATTGATTGATAATTTATATTATTGTTGTTTTTAGGTGGTTGCAGGAGGGGGTGCAGTTGACGCTGCTTTATTTGTGTATTTAGAGTACCTTGCTACAACTTTGGGGGTCTCGCAAACAGCTGGCGATTGCAGAATTTGCTGAGTCATTGTTGATAATTCCAAAGATTTTTATATTATTATTAAAATTTGAAAAATATATAATTTAATTTCTTATGAATAGTGATAATTTTATTTTTTGATAATGCTCAGGTTCTTGCTGTGAATGTTGCAAAGGATGCGACTGATGCTGTTTTGGGTTTGATTTTTTTTAGTGAAATACCGAAAATGCCCTTTTACTGATGTTGTTTTGGGTTTGATTTTTCAGCTATTAGGAGAAGGTGCTTCATCTGATGCATCTTTTTTAAGTGGATCAAACATTAAAAAAGAAGAGAAATTCGTGTAAAGTCCAATTTCACATCCTTAAAAAAGAGTTGTTCTTCTTGAGCTGATGTCGTTGATAAAAAGCTTGCAAATGATGACACGGTTTCCTGGTCCACTTAATTAGTGACAATTTACCTTTTTGCCCCTCCCCCATACCAAAAACAAATTCATCAATTCTATTCTGTACAATATGAATGAGAAGTTGAAACATTAATGATACTGTTGATGATGCTTAATGATTTGTGAACTAATAGGTAGTTTTTATTCCAATTTCTTAGATAAGGTTTTAATATTGATAATTCTAATTTAATTAAATGTAGTTGAATACAAACGAAAAACTCGGATAATCACAGAAAAATGTCTTGATGGAATATAGATTTAGGGTTTCAATGCTTGTTTATATACTTAACAAGTGTTGTTTTTCTTCAAAATCCAGTTGTAATGGATCTTGTTCGAGGCAGTTCTTATATCATAGGACATAACTATTTGCTTAAATCCATATATTGTAACAGGTGCAAAGAGATTTTGAAGAATTGCCTTCTGAAGCATTTCGTTCACTACGTGATTCTTTAAATGTAAGTAAATATAAAATACTTGTACCCTTTTGTATCTATTAATGTGGTGTTTAACAGTTGGAGTTATAACTGCAAAACTTGTTGAAAACATTTAATAAGGGTAACCTTTTGTAACCAATTTGCCCTTGTAAAAATAAGGGCAAGATTTTTTTTTTTTTTTTTTTTTTTTTTTAATGATTATTGCATTATAAATTGATGTTGAGTTTTTGCAGAAACTTTATAGGTGCAGAAACTTTTTTTGTAAGATTTCTCTCTCTTTTTTCATATATATTTTTTATTTTTTTATTTATTGTTTTAAACTAAAATTCCTTAATATGTTTTTTTAGGTGTATGTATTATTACTCGTGATGGTGTTGCTGGATTATATAGAGGTTTTGTGCCAAATGCATTAACAACGTTACCAAACAGCAAGTTTAATTTTAACTTTTTGTGCCCTTAAAATTTAAATCCTTGTCTATTTTCCTTCTTTTTCTTTATTAAGTTTTGTCTGGATATTAGAAAAAAAAAAGATATGAAAGGAAAAAACCTGAGGGTAAATTTGTAAGAAGTTAGGAGTTGATAGGGAAAGCTTCGTTTTCATGACTTTCTATATTAATTGGTATACTGATTTCTATTTATTTTGTTTTTACTGATTGTGATAACTTACATTAGCACATCTATCAAAACTCAAAAGGTGGAGTAAAATTACTTTTCTGTCCTTATTTCATAAAATTAATCATATGTCAACCAAACCCATAAAGATTCACATCCAAACACCCTTAGTTGCTGACTGATTCCCCTATGATTTGAACATAGTGGATATTATCTGTAGCTTTCTATGATGTTATTCTTATGCATACTATTTTAATTTTGAATTTTGATTTTTTTGTTTAGGTTGTGTAATGATGAATCATGTAGGATTTGGGATGCTAGGCATTCTCAATTCATAAGAAGGTATACTTATGAAACCATACATTTTTTTTATAGAAATATCTTTTAGTATAAAAATCAGCATTCTGATCGTGATATATTTTTAGGATAATTTTGTGGAATCATCTACAAAGCCAAGTATATCATCAATTCCAACGTTAAATGTGGCTCCATTTTCTGTTGCCATTAATAATCATGTCCAGATTCATAATATTACTTTTGAAGCTACATTACTTATAGGTTTTTAGGATATTTCTAACACAATGGATTTATTTACTAATTGATGCAGCATTAGGTGGCTCAACAAGGAAAACAAACAAAGAGTTGATGAGTACAAATATACTGGGATGATACAAGAAACTGGTGGTCAACAGTCCATGTAAGTTTCTTGGTCCTTTAAAATGTTGGCGAGGTGGGTTATGCCTTTCAAGATCTATTGGAGATAGAGATGTTGGGGAGTTCATTATTCCAGTTCCTCATGTTAAACAAATGAAGGTTAGTTTAGTAATTAAACTCAATTTATTCCTCTTTTTTATTAAAAACTTTTATTTATTCATGATCTTCAGCTATCTTCTGCTTGTGGGCGGCTTGTAATTTCAAGTGATGGAGTCTTGGATGCTCTTTCCACTGAATCAGCTCTGGAATGCAGTCGCGGATTGGCTCCTGAATCAGCAGTAGCACAAATTGTCAAAGTACGGAAACAAAAAAATGTCAATTTTGTAATAAAATATTATGCAATGGATTCTCTTTTTTGTATATGATATTTTGTATGACATTAAATTTTATGAAATGTATTATATTTTTTGTATATGATATTTTATTTTCTATTATGAGGCATTAAATGCAAATTTAATTTGAAAATTATTAAATCTATAAAAAATTTATTTTTTAAAACATTTAAAATTATGATACGCAAAAATGTATGTCATCTTTATTAATGACATGGCCTTTCTTGACAGGGGCTTTCTTGATACGCATTGCGTGTCATTAACACGCGCGTCCTAAGGTTACGACACGCGAATGTGTGTCGTCTTCCTTTATGACAGAGCCTTCCTTGATACACATTGTGTGTCGTAAACGCGCGTCGTAACTGCGCGTCGTAAATGAGCGTCATAAATGCGCGTCATCTCTCTTTATGACAGGGCCTTCCTTGATGCGCATTTGCGCATCGTCTTAGCCTTTTACGACGCGCAATGAGCGTCGTAAAAGGCTGTTTTTCTAGTAGTTAGTAGCGATTATGGATTGGAGAATGAAGACTTTCGGCAAAAAAGTAGTGAACTTGGTCAAGGTTCAGTGGCAAAAATCGAAAAGTTTGAGAGTGGACGTGGGAGCTCGAGATTGAGATGCGCGAGAATAACCCTGACCTATTTTCCAAGGATGACTTCTAGGGAAAAGTCTTATTATTGTAGGGGAGAATTGTAACATCCAATTTTTAGGTATTTTCATTTACCCCTTGCCCTAATTAAAGTTCCCATATTTCTCCCTTATGTAAAAAATCCTACACTTCAACCCATATGCTAGGCATACGTGAGATACGCGCAGTGTACATGTTGGATATATGGAAACACTGGAATCATGCTAGTACGCGGAGCATACATATGGTATGTACGACTTACTAACACAACTCCTAAATCCTTAATTTAAGTGTTTGCTCCCTATTTAATCCATCTTAAGCCTCCTTTGGACATTTCTTATTAGCCTCGACTCCTTACAAACCTTAATCTCGACCTAAAGCCTTATGTGTGAAGATTTTGAAGCTTGCTAGTGATTTTGGTGCTCTCTTGTTGAAGAAGAAGACTATTGAAGAAAGTGGTGTTGCTTGCAAGCTTGTGGATCCAGAAACTACCTCACTTTGTGAATCATTTGAAGGTATAAAGTTTATATCTTGATGTGTTTCTTTCTAGATCTCCATATATGAGTTTTTATGAGCTTTTTGTCCTAAATCTTGGACCTTTGAGGCTACTCTAGAGTATTTTGACTATGCTATTAGATATATTAGAGTGCTTATATTCATAAAAATGGCTGCTTGATGGTCCCTTTCCATCCATGCAAGAGTTTGGTGGTATTGAGTATATATTAAGTTAGGGTTTTAAAGACTAAGCTCTTTTTAGCCATGCCAAGGCTTAAAGTTATGGGATTTATAGATTAAGACGTTCTATGAAGGTCATATATATGTTTGGATTGCATGTCTTAATGATTTAGAAATTTTGAAGTGACTTTTGGGAACATACGACATACATCGAACGTACTACCGGCTATGTCTAGCATAACCAGGTTTGATCAAGACCCACCTAGTTCTTCGAGTATGCTACACGTAGGGGGAGTGTAGGCCCAGTGTACGCACTGGGTAGTTAACTTTTGCTAACTTTTTACTTTTGGTCAAGATTTAGCGATTTGGACCATAAAAGGGGTAAAATTGTCTTTTTTCCCTTAAGGGGCATAGTTGTGGGATTTGGACTTGTGAGTTGAGTTATGGACCTTAATTATTAATTAGGGTTAATTATTATGTTATTAGGCAGAATCTAGTTCCTACAGTTTGGGTGTGAGATTATCTGACATTTAATATCAAACGAGTCTCTTCAATATTATTGCCTGTATGGTAGAATAGATGTTGTAACGCCTTGTTTCGAATCGTTTCCCAGGCAGGGTGATGATCAAGGAGAATGTATTAGCAAAATTAGGACCCTTGAAAAATTTAGATTTGGGCACATTTGGAGGTGGATGATGCAATTTGGACGGTCCGGTGTCTGGTTTGTGTTTTGGAGCCAAAGGGTATTTGGGTAATATGTCAACTCAGGCTTTTATGGAAATTGGATGTTTGTTTGGGAAATTGTAATTCAAGTATGAGTTGTTTAAATTGTATAGCTTTTGTTACCTTTTTATGGATATATGGATCGTTGGAATCAAATTTTATAAAGAATAAGTTATAGCCTTCGGAATATATTAGGGTTTGAGGGGAAGCCCTAGTATATAGGGGGTACCTAAGGAGTACACGGGCTTACTGATGCGAAGGACATTACGCGGGGCGTAGTGGACTGTACACTTAACGTATTGCGAGGGTTGGATCTAGGGTGCAAGATTTCGTATTTGGGCGTACGAGGAGTACGCAGGGCGTACAAGGGGAAAATGAAACCCTAATTTTGATGTTGTACCCTATATAATCAAATTAAGTATTGTGGGCTAGCCTCTTCACCAGCCTCCAAGTTGCAAAAACCCTAGAAATCATTCCTTAGGCTCC